TCTGAACATTACAGGAAATCCTTCTTCGTGGAAACCAGAATATGAAAAAAACCCTTCCACAAAACAAGAGGTGCTCTTTATGAGCCAAAAAAGCATTTGAACATTGTCCAAGCCTTCATTTCTTATATTTTGAGAGAGCCCCTTGCAGCCACGAGTTCCAAATTCGGAAAATGAATTGGGAATAGGTGGCAAAGTCATCAGGATTGGGACATATCGTCCATCAACAATTTTCCAGCCGTAATTATTCGGGTCTTATAAATCATGGGCCTTAATCCACACTAGTATCTGAACATAACATTAGCTTCCTTCGATTTGTTCAATTTTCTTCTACCTGGAAGTAGCACCGGAGAATGTGTTGACGGAGGGCATCAGTGGTAGATGGCGAAAAGCATTCGCACTGTCCAAAAAATTGCAACATGGGCTGCGTCTGCCGTTGTAATGTCCGGTCCAACTCAAAATAAAAATGGTAGTAGTATCGAAACGGCTAATAGTTCTTATTCACCATGTGTCTCAGAAAAGGGACGCAAAAAACCTTGTATAAAGCTTGCACCACAAACTGTTCAACCAAACGGAGATCATCGGGGGCTAGATCGGGAGTTTTTACAAGCTGACTCAGGAGTTTACAGTAGTTTTCTTCTATGTACTTGCTTCCACCGTTCTGTTTTTGTGACTGACGCTAACTTACATGTAGTATCACATCCAGTGATTGCGTGGAAAGCCATCAGGTTTTTCATCTGTTGTGGTGCAAGTTTCTAACATAGTTCGTGAATTGGAATATACTCCATGCGTAGAAACCGAAAGAGAGGCTGTTGTTGTTTCTGTTAAAGACACAAGTGTGATTTCATTATTCATCTATCACTTTGAAAGAATGAAATGCAAGGAATGCTGGGTGATGTGTGGTACTTCCCGAGATAGAAAGTATATTCCAATTCATGAACTATGTAGAAAGCTCACATCACAACAGATCAAAAACCTGATGGATTTCCACGCAATCACCGAATGTGATACTAAATCTTGATGAGGGTCTGCCACAAAAACAGGACGGTGGAAGCAGTACATTGAAGAAAACTACTGTAAACTCCTCAATCAGCTTGGAAAGACTCCTGATATAGCCCCCGAGGATCTCCGTTTGGTTGAACAGTTTGTGGTGCCAGCTTTATACAAGGTTTGTTGCGTCCCTTTTCTAAGACACATATGGTGAATCAGAACTGTTAGCCGTTTTTATACTAATATCATTTTTATTTCAAGTTGGACCGGACATTACAACGGCAGACGCAGCCCGTGTTGCAATTTTTGGGACAGTGCGAATGATTTTTGCCATCTACCACTGATACCATCCATCAACACATTCTTCGGTGCCACTTCCAGATAAAATTAACAAGAAGAAAAAGAAAATAGAAAAAATCTAGGGATTTTAATTTTAGTCTGTTTTCTTTTTAGGTACTAGTGTGTGGTTTAACGCCCATGATCAGTATCTTGATTCACCAGAACCCGATTAATTGCGGCTGGAAAATTGGTGATGGACGGTAAGTCCCAATCTTGATGACTTTGCTACCTATTCCCAAGTCATGTCCCGAATTTGGAGCTTGTGGCTGCATGGGGCTCTGCGGCCACTGCGGCACGAATCAGTGTGGCTGCAGGGAGCCGAATGGAGCAGAAAAGATGAGGAAGACTACTAATAGGGAACTTTTTTTTTTAAATATAAGAAATGAAGGCTTGGACAATGTTCAAATGCTTTTTTGGCTCATAAACGTATCGAGCACCCTCGAAAACGTATGCAAGCATGTACATTATACAACACGTTTTCACAAGTTCTTTGGAATTTTGGCCCATTTCGTCAAAATTTGATCATTTGATGAACTTTCAAAGCTCCAAATCATTTTTTGAGTGTCTCATCGTATTCTACACCCCCGAAAACATAGACATCGACACCTCAATCGTATAGCTGACCGAAAGTAGAAAATAATTTGATTTTAGGGGTATTCTGGACGCCATCTTGAATATCTCACTTCCGGTTGGAATTTCGACTTGATAAACGGTATTTTCGGATTCAGCGGGGTCAAAATAGGGGGTTAACAGCATTTATCCAATTGTTACATGAAATGCTTCTAGGATTGTAACGGAGGGCTTTTTTTGGAATTTAGCCCCGACTATTTCAAATTCGTGGATGAAGCACAAATTCCAGGCATTATGGTGGACACAAATTCAAGAAGTATGTATTAACAAAATTGGGAAAGTATAGTAAATCAGATTCAATGACTTGTCTTATTTTCTAGCCTCGGCTACGCCTCGACAGCCGACATCTTCTGACTTGTAGAACACATAACTATTGGACGCAAATCTTTCGAACATTCGATCTCGGATTATGAGAAATCACACTTCCCAAGGCATTATTTCGAGTCTGCCACCACGGACTCCTTGCCAAGCTTTCATTTCAAAGTTGCCTTCTCAGCAATGTTCTCTGATAGCAATTTTTCACAAACAGGTCTCTCCATGTAGTGGTCGACGGAGTTTAATCTGACTCTTTTATCATAAATGCTGGTGTTCCGCAAGCATCCATTTTAGCACCAACACTATTTCTACTCCATATCAACGATTTGTTGGGAGCAACTTCATGTCCAGTACAAAGCTTCCAGGGCTCCTGACCATCCAGGCAAATCATAAACGAACGAGGAAGAAATGTTGACAACATCAATATGGACTTGGCAACAATTCTCGAATGGATCCAATAACTTGGTAGATTTCAATGCAAACAAAACACGAGCATGCCTCTTCTCTAGAATAGCCAATCTCACTGTGCCCAACATGAGCTTGTCAGGAGTAACCATATCTCAAAAGACATTTTGTTCGATGCTTGGTATTACTATCAGCAATAACCCTTCTTGGGAAAATCACGTGGGATCAATTGCTGAAAGTGCATCCCAAAACTTGGTTTTTCGTTCCGGGCCAGGAGCTATTTCACTTCCAGTCAACTGCTCATGATCTATAAAGCATAGATCTGACCTGTCCTGGAATACTGTTTCCATATTCTGAGTGCAGCACTCAAACATACTGAAACTGTTGGATTCTGTCCAAAAGAGGGCAATTCATCTTGTGGGTGATGCCTTCTCGCTCACAAACTCACTCACTTCTCTGAAACTTTGTAGGAGAGTTGGCGATCTGGCTTTATTTTGGAGATATTCTCATGAACGATGCTCTTCTGAAATATCAACAATTTTTTCCCCCTTGGTAGTCTCTGCGAGATTAACCTGTCGAATTGAGGCTTCCTGATCACTTCGGAGACATGCAGAACATCTCTCTCCAAATACTCGTTTATTCAACGAACAGCAAGGCTCTGGAACACATTGCCAAGGAAGGTGTTTCCTGAAGCATATAACCTCCAGAAATTCAAGAAGAACACAAATTCCTACCTAATTGCCGTTGATGCTCACGATGTTCTCTGAACATTACAGGAAATCCTTCTTCGTGGAAACCAGAATATGAAAAAAACCCTTCCACAAAACAAGAGGTGCTCTTGTTCCGCATCGATCAAAAGTATCGTTTTCGAGTGGAATCGATTTGAAAATAGTGTTACACTACATGATGTCTATACAAAAGAAAGAAGTTCGGCAGGCTGATTTCTGTATATATTCTCAACTGGATCAGTAGTGGAAACAAAAATTAGCTGAACTTGCATTGACATAATTGATGAATTGCAAATGTTGCAAATGTCAAGCAGCACATGAGAACTATAGGTGATATAGGTACTTACTTATAGTTTGTCCTAGACAATTTGAGGCCACCTTTTATGAGAGCAAAACGTTATATAGGGTAATATAAATCAATACAATTTTTAGATATCCTTTTGTCCCTATATATAATTTCTCAAAACCTCTGCTAAAAGTTCATATGGTTCATCGAAGTGGACTAGATAGTTGTAGTTACTGAATAATATTCTGAAGGGATATACTCAGATAGAATATGAAGATAAAAAATGGATATACAGGGTCGTTCACATTTCGTTGTCCCACTATCGCTATCTCTGAAACGGTTAGAGATAAAGAGTTGATTCAATGGAACAAAAGTTGCACATTTCGGAATAGAACAGGATTATGTGGAGAAATCTATTATATCATTAGCCATTTCAAAAATAATTGGGAATAACAAAATTGTCGATTTTTCTCTTCAGGCGCTGCCTCTTCTATTTCAGGAAACAAATAAAAAACTTCAATGACAGTTCTCGTTCTATTCCGTGTGTTTCTCAATATCAATCAAGATTTCAGATGAAACGTTTTGTTGATCAAGGGCCACCCTCAACTTTTGAAATATGGAACCGATTTTTTTTCTCTACAAATATCTATTGGCTCGTTGCATTCTGCATACAGACATATATCATACTCATAGTTTCTGTCTTTGTGAATCCTTCAATTTCCGAAATAAAAGGAGTAGCGCCTGAAAACAAAAATTGACAATTGGATTTTTTCCAAATTTTTTCTGGAACGGCTCATGACATCTTTGATTTCCTCACATGATTCATATGTCCTTCGAAATTGACAACTTTTGTTTCTCTCAACCAACTTTCTATCTAGAAAAGTTTCAGTGATAGCAGTAATGAAGCAACGAATTATGGGCCAACCTGTATATATTATGAAGAAATACATTGACAATTCGGAATTCTCTATGTAATGAAAATATCAATTCTTCCTTGGTCCATTCAACCGAAAACAACTCATTTCCTTGCAATATATGCCACGACTAACACTGAATTATATCTATCGAACAAACACTATGAGAATTTGAAATCAAAATCATCTGAAGTTGAGAATTTGTATGCATCCAATTAGGTATACAATATTTTATCATACTTATAGTATAGTATGTTACAATTTTGATGCGGTATTACTTGATAAATGAAGTTACTTTCGCCTATTTACGAAACGTTTGGTATTTCCTGTCGACTATTGCTCTAAGGGTATTAACTCTTATTGTATCAAAATGTATGGTGATAAATTATTACTCACTTTCATGAGGTAACCAGGTAAAATAAAGGAGGCGAACGCACTCAGCGCCAACCTGATACTAGTCGCATCTGTTGCCCTTCTTGCCGTGCGGAAGAACTCATTATCTGGATTATTCAAGGAATCCACAGACACTCCGAACGCGATTTTAGCGATGACGTCATTGGTGTATCTTGTAGTTGCATCCAGAACATCGAGTTCGATCGACGGTTCGTTTTTGTTTTTCAAATAATTGATCAAGTTTTCGGCACACTCCGACATCAGCCCAAACATTGTTTTGATCTTGCCGGACGTGAAAGAAGGACTCATCAGGGATCTCATATATCTCCAATCTTCACCTGAAAACAAAAGACAGAAACGGTGAGCTGAAAACGAATATTTTTCCCGTGTACCTATAATAATAACATATTCGCACTGTTACGAGAAGGAGGCCGAATCAATATAGAGAAGATCTCAAATAATATCAGAATCAGAAAATTATCGACGTGGAATTTGAAGTTTTCAATAATTATGACACCTGCGTCGAAGGCATTTTTTGCATGCATCTTTATCATTATTCTGAAATAATTATATCGAGATAATATCCATATCTTCATTTTATAGAACGAAGAGAGAAAATCTCAAAAAATTTGAAATAATGAATGTGAATTGATTTGTTTTTCAACACTATAGCAATTAAATACATACATACATTTTGTCTTGTGAAATTGAAAAAAACCTATTGTCAGTATGAGAGCACTATACGTTATAACTTTTCTAATTGAGATTTGGAAGCCATGACCATCACAGCCTATGACAAGTTGTAAATAATTGTTATCAACCTACTAGATTTGAAGGCCATTGATGCCAACCTCGCATCAGAACAGTTGATCCAGTTCAATCATAATGGCTTTGTGTTTATTGACTCGTGATTCATAAAGTGACAACAAGTACCTTGGTTATAAGAAAAACACTTCACGCCTCGAAAAGGAGTCGATAATGGATTATAGCTTTGTGATTTATGTCTTTGGTTCTGAAATAAGTACTCATTCGAATTTGGAGAGTGGCGACTAGATGAGCTGAAACTTATGGAGATTTATACAGGCTGTGAATGGTAGGTATGGCTCCCTCGTGTCGATTTTGATGTTTCCAAAAGTCGAGAAATCGATAGAGCTGTCCAAACTTTGAAACGCTGTATTTTTGCTTGAGAATATTTCTCAATGGAGTTTTTTCATGAGGATCTATATTTTTCTTGATCATCTAACAAGAATTATGATGTTCAACCTGGACAGACCTGTATATTGAACGAATTCCAATATTTTATTCTCAAGTATGAAAACATTTGTATACAACGAACATTCACAGACACATTCATAAAGTGTTGTACTCAGGGTGATTTATCGAGAATGGGCGAGAGCCAAGTGTCACTTTTCATTAATTCTCGTCTAGGGTGGAATTTGATTTGAGAAAACGAAGAAGAAGTACGAAAATATTGAATTTTCACAAACTTCACGAAGATATAAGAATCTTGGTAATGAAAGCCTTTCACCCACGCGACCAGGATTACCCAATTGGTGAGACTTGGTCATTAACGTCACCCACCAATTAGTAACTTTATTGTCATGTTAGTTTTTGGACGTCATGATGACGTCATATCAACATAATTTCTGATCAATGACATTGCAGTGACGTGGCTGTGACGTCTATGAACCACATTAGGAGCCTTCGTGGTCCAGAGATTTTTTTTCAAATTTCAATTCAGTTTCCTGGTGACAATAAAAAACAATATATGCATTTTATATGTTACTCAACAATGCTGAATTTGCCAACATTCATTACATTGCTATGAAACCATTTTTGATCTGCTTACTACTCGCCGACACTCACTACATAATGTTTCATACAAATACGAGTAACTGATCTCATTCCAATGGAGATGCGTACTGAGGATGGCAGTGCTCAGAAGAGGATTGAATTTAGATCAACATAATGACTTCTTATACCATCTCAAAGACCACATATTTGCAATGCTTCACGATCAAGAAGCTGATGTACGATTGATAATATCAAGAGGTTATTATGATATCTCAGCATGGGCATCATAAGAGTACAATTCATAATTCTTGAGATGATAATGTGCTGTTCTTTGGATGTAAAAAATTTGAATGTGCCATTGACTAGTACTGACAAGCAGTCGTTGAGACGTTATTGTGACAAAGAACGTTTGTGGTTTTGAGTTAAAAATATTTTGAACTTTTCAAACTGTCCTCATGTGATGTTGTTTTATCAAGAAGTTCAACTTGGTAGTGATGACTACAATAAATTATGTATCTACGATGTGACCATTTTCGTTGGTTATGTATTCGATTCCATAACGAAAATACATATGTATGGCGAAAAAATGACCACACAACGACAATACAACTTTTCTATATAAGTCCATATTAGCAAGTCGTTACGACTACGTTATAATGTCGATGTTAAGTCCTATGAGTGCGCCTTTCTATCGTATACATACCGTATACATAGCGACGTTTGACCATAGTACAAGACATATTTCAAGGACTTTCGAACAAAGATGAGTAATATGATATCATCAAGATATGAATCATTCACGACATTCACCACCTCATGTAACGTCATATTGGTCAATCAACCGACGTTAGAAAACGAATCATTTTAACACGAACCATTGCATATCGATATCAGGAGGTTACAATTCAATATTCTGCCTTGCATTAGTCAGGAAAGTAGTCAATTTCCTCCAGTCATCTTATATCAGTTTTTTCTTGTATTGAACACTTCATTAGTTTTTTCTTTCATTGAACAGTAGTTGAAATTACTTCTAGTTCAATTAATTTCTCCGAGTATCGATCATATAATAATAATTCGTATTTACCTTTGAGTTGTAACAGATTTTTACCCCACAAAGGATCAGCTTCTACAGGCATGACGTCACGATGGTCCGTGAAATTATCGAAAGCTTTCACAGTGATTTCCTTCATCAAATCAGGATCTTTGACTACCAATAATGGATTGACAAACATGTACATTCCGAAGTATCTGAAATATATCATGGGATTATCTTTATACTGAATGGGTTCGAGTTTTTATAAGACAACCTTCCCGAATGACCCAGTCGAACATAATCTAGAAGAATTGTGTGAAAAAATAACTTCTTCGTTTTCGTGAAATCTGATTCACTTCACCAACCACTTTGAGGTGAATTAAATCAGGCATTGAAAACGCGTGAAAACTCATTTCAAAATACTTAGAGGTGAAGTGATTGAATTATTCATCCTCAATATTAGTATAGCAAGATATAATATTAAAAATATTCAATCTTCAAAAATTATCCTTACTTTCATTGAACGTAGAATGATTCATTTAACCGAGTGACCACTTCGGGGTAGGTACCAAAAAAAATGATGAAATTTAACTAAATCATTCGAAGAGAATAATTGTATCCAATGTATGTTCATTTATAACTATTGGACATATTCAGGGCGGTAGGTGAATACAATTATAGAGTTAGTGCTTCCACAATCAATCGTTAGAAGATATCTATATGGATATATATAATACTTTATCGGAAGCATTCTGGATTCTTTGAATCTACATGGTGATACGGTTTTGGAGGTATAAACTTTTTTATCTCCCTCAAACTTTTTTGTGGTACGTCTCTGATATTCAACAGTCACCGAATAGGATAGAAATTTCAGTTTGAAGGCTTTTTTCGCTTCTCAACTTTTCCCGAGAAATGAAACGTTCTCGAGATGAATAAGCATATCCGTTCTGAAACATTCTATGATTTTCTATCGAAATCATTGACCACATCAAATGTCGAATAAATATCTTCAGAAGTGAGCGAGATATTTCAATTGATGAAAAAAGTTATTGAACTCGAACTTCTTGTATCTCCGTCGAGATCGGATACATATTTTTACCGACTTTTTTGTTAAAAACAATGAGATCTATCATCCATTACAGTTTGTACTCCAAAACCTGGATAACCCTGTATATTCAACGGGTAGGTACACCTATTCAAAATTCAGTAGTGACATTTATGATAACTTGAGAATGTCAGTGGTGACCAGTGTTTTTCCACCCTCTGAATAGCATTGAACGATACGCGTAAAATTTTCTAGGTTGCAACATTTTTGTGAAATTTGTATATCGCTACTTCGAAGTTGATCATAACCAAGTTTCAAAATTTGTGCGGGGTTGATGAGACAGGGACCTACAGCTTATAGACCCAGACAGTACTGGATATTCATAGAATATTCTCTGAATATGCTAAAAAGGAGGAGTATATTCCGAATATTCATCGATTATTCCTAGGATATATACATGCCTCAGGAACACCTGAAAGGAATATTCCAAAGTAAATAGTCGGACATGTTCAGGGAATATTCAGGTATGAATCTTCCAGGAATATTCCCAACTGAATATTCGCTGTTGTATATTCATGAAATATACCCAACTGAATATTCAGTGCGGTATATTCATGAAATATACCCAACTGAATATTCTGTGCGGTATATTCATGAAATATTCTCAACTGAATATTCTGTTGTGTATATTTATGAAATATTCCATGAATATTCCTATGTTTCTCAACACATAAATACCATTTATTATTTCAGAAATGTAAGTATCGAACATCAATTTGATGTGAGGGGATTTTGAAACAAAAAGTGTTTATGATCCGATTTCGAACAATGCTCTCACAAGAACTTGATATGTATAACATTATTCAATTCGATTACTGGCCTAGTGGTCAAGGCGTTGCTCTGATAGTCTTGAGGTCACGAGTTCGATCCCAACTTGGGTCCCTCTTTTTATTTTAGAATATGTTTATTGGAATATTCCAGGAACATTCAACATAGAATATTCTTTTGGGTATATCCTATGATTATCTGAGGAATTCCCATTCGCATATTTAGAGAATATTCCACAGATATTCCGGAATATTCCAGATTATTTCTAGAATATTCCAATATTCCGAAAGGAATATGATAGGGAGATTCATGGAATATCTGGTGCTGTCTGGGGAGGATTCCTTACCACTCCTATAGAGCGCCGCAATGCTGTAAAAAATTGTCATTCCTCAAAGATTCATTCACCTTAGATCAGAAGCCTTTTTGTATACATTGTTCATTGTAGTGGTGAAACATTCCAATCCCAGAATGTTACGTAAACTATCTCCAAAAAACCATGATGGATTGCCTGCTTCATGGACGCCTTTCCTTCTCCAATATTTCATGGGACGTACGCAGAAATAATAAAAACTTAATGATGCTGCTATGGCCAGCCACATAATAATTGGAATCATGATGACTTAGGGCTCGAAGATGTTGATTCCTGAAATGCGAGACGAATATTCATAGGAATAAAGTGATGCAAAGAAAATTAAACATCACGCTTTTTCTGATTGCATTTCAGGAAGGTCAATATTGTATTCGGAAATAGTCATTTGAATTTCAGAATACGTCAATTGTAGTTCAAAATGAACAATTCAATTACACAGTGATTGTCATTTGTTCTTTAGGAAATATCACTTTGAATACAAGTGACGCTTTCTAGAATACAAATGAGTGATCTGAAGAACAAATGACACTATCTGAAATTCAATTGACTAACCTGAAAGACAATTATTGATAATTCCTGCAATACAAGTGACTATTCTGGAACGCAAATTATGCTTTCTGAAATTGAAATGACGCATTTTGAAATACAAATGAAAAAAGGATAGCGTATAACATGAATTTCTATTCGAATTTCCGGAAATTAAAAATATTTTAGAGACATATTGGATCACATTAGAACATCACGCTGTGAATCATAAACCACCCTGTATTTGTTTGGAATAAAGGGTAGTAGGTGGCGAAAACATTTCCAGATCTGCCAGGTTTTGGAATCACCCTGTACATGAATTCAAAAACTCCTAGGAACGTTTACTGAGACATTCACCTGTTTCGATACTTCTTCCTTATTACTCTGTATATACAGTATACACTGTGCTACCTTCAACTAGTTCACCTCACTTCGAATTCACTTGATATGTATGTCATAAATCCTATTACAATGTTTTCTCTTTATTTTCAATCGATTCAGTTATATTGGAATTTACCAATAGTTGATACAATAATATTATATATTATTCAAATAATTGTAAATACGCGCACAGGACAAAACAAAATACTTGATTATCTCTCGATTTATTATTGTTTGATCACTACAACTTATCTGATAAACACTCGAATGCTTCACAAATACTGAGTTCATCATCTGGGTATGCCAGTTACATAATGATTTCAATGATAAATATTTATTTATAGTTCAAGGCCGACATGATGAAGTTCAATGGCATTGACGCGTATTTACTATCTCGTTCAATTCGGGTATATATCAGTCTTGTTGAAAGAGGAAGACAGTCCAATTGATCCCTAAAAAAGGCAACAATAACTTGCTCAACAACTACAAGCCAATTGCCCTGTTATCAGTTATCCCCAAGCCCATAAAAAAAAGACATTTGTTGCAGTCGTCCTGATCTATCCGCGTATCTACAGTAGGTAACATATCGTTTTGTTTTTGATTTTTTTGTGTTAATCCATACAGGGTCGAGTCGTTGCTGAAATATTTGACCGTTTCGGTTCTTTTGGGAAACCCTGTATATCGCTACCATTATACAGGCTGATTCACGGCGGATGGTACAATAAACGTTTCAGGAGAACGCAACTCAGGATCATTCTAAAAAGTTGGTGCCTTGGATATTTAGTTGTGTTTTATTGACCGGAAATGTGTTCAGCATTGCGACGTTGCCACTTATATTGAAAAGTAGCGAACAACTTTGATTTTTTCCATCACAATCAGCAATAAACTCTCCCAAGAAGATCACGTGAGATCAATTGCTAAAAGTGTATCTCGAAAACTTGGTTTTCTGTTTCGGGCCAGGAGCTATTTCACTCCCAGTCAACTGCTCATGATCTATAAGGCACAGATCCGATCTGTCCTGGAATACTGTTTTCATATCTAGAGTGCGGCACCCAATCATACCCTAAAACTTTTGGGTTCTGATGTCCAAAAAAGGGCAATGCGTCTCGTGAGTGATACCTCGTTTACAAACCCACTCACTTCTCTAGAACACCGTTACACAAGTTAGCGATCTGGCCCAATTTCATAGATATTTTCATGGACGATGCTCTTCTGAAATATGAACAATTGTTCCTTCATTGGCAGTCCCCGCGGGATTGACTCGTCGAGTTGAGGCTTTGCACCCCTTCGTGGTCACTTTGGAGACCTGCAGAACATCTGTTTTTAAAGACTCGTTCATCCAACGAACAGCGAGGCTCTGGAACAGATTTCCAAGAAAGGTGTTTCCCAAGGCATATTACCTACAGAAATTTGAGAAGAACACCAATTCCTTCCTTATTTTTCTCGGTTCTCACGATGTTCCCTGAACATTACAGGATATCCTTCTTCGTGGAAACCAGAACATGGGAAGAAATGGAACACACTGTTCATTATTCAATTTTCAGATTATCGCTGAAGAGCTGATTTCATCGATCTATAGCACTTGGGGACTAGCGCCCAGATAGAACATTATATTGGCTAGAACTTGGTCTCACATCAGCCCAATATTCGGATATTGAATATGGAAATACTTGATTGTACCAATGTCTAACCAATTGCACATTTCAATATTCGATCATCAATTCAGTGCAAATGTTGTGGTAACATTAGAATTTTGTGACCTGCTTATACTTATTCGATAGTGGTGAAATATTAACGATTACAATATGTCAATGTTCATGATGAGATTATATTTCATTTCAAACATCGAATCAATCTTGGAAAAAAATATTGCATCAATATCAGATTTATGATGGTTAGTGGATATTGCATTTCAATGTCCAGCAATATTGCACTGATATTGGCTTCCTAATATCAATTCGATATAATACCTATATTATGTTCGAGATGATTATTAATATTACATGATATTTGCTACCAATATTATTTTTTTATTTGTATTTTTTTCAAGCCAATATCAGTTCGTCAGAACCAATATTGCACTGATATCGGTTTTTCAATATCAAATCTATATGAGTCATATTCATTTCTTCATTTGAGCGACGATATAACAGCTGATGCCACTAGCACATCTTCAACAAACGACTGCTTAGAGGGATCAAATACTGCAGCATTCGTTTTACTTGGTATCCTGGGATACAGAGAACGAAAATGTATCTGATACATTATGCTTTAATGTATCATTGCACCAATTATCACGATTTTTTCTTCATGAGGCTGAAATGGTTTCGAATTTCGAATTTGAATTTTATAACGAAAACGAGAAACCATATAGATAGAATATTATAATTCAAATTAAAGATGATATCGCAAAATGATCACATCCTTATTTTGGCCAATATAGTACTAGGCAAATATGAATTTAATATCAAATTTCCATTCAATCATTATCATAATCTGCTTTCTATAAGTTGGCATAATATTTTTGTCCAATCTTGTATACGAATATAAAATCGATAGAGCATATCGAAACAAGATTAAAATTTAACATAGCACTAAAATTCCAGAATATTCACATTGATTTATTGGTCTAATATTCAAAATCAATAATTTTCCAACATTCATTTTCTATTGGTTCAATATCCAACCAATATTAGTGTTCTATCTGGGAAAGCGAATAACTTCTGAGATAGTTAGCGCGAATTTATATAATATGTCAAGGAAACGCATGTAATAGCTGTTACAGAACTAGGTCAGCAGCTCCTTTCTGTCAGAAAACATGAACTAAAATCGTTTCAGGACCGTTTATAGACTAATCAACCGTTAACGTGAAATCTCCGATAAAATCCATATTCATATATGTTATTGTGCCAATGTTGTGATCTTTCCTTTTGGTACATGGGAAGAAAAGGTTCTGTAAATGGTCACAGTGATCACTTAGAAGGTTTGAAAAGGTGGTGAACCAAAATAACTAGTGGGTAGCTTTTCCAGTAGACGTTTATTCACTTCGAGGACGATGGTAAATTTCACAAGACAATCACAGAGTGCTCAGTACAATGAAAAATAAGTTAGTGATGTTGACTCAAGAATAGTTGCGTTCTATCTAACTAAAACATGGCTTCCCTGAAGGCATATAATTTTATAGACGAAAGTTTTGATAATCTACTGTCGTGAGAAACGAAAGATAAAATACAATTCATAAGGGCACAATTTAGTATACTCTATACTTCTTTCCATTATAAACTGCTGAAGTTGATTTTGCTGAGACTGAACTTAGATACTCGAAGTAAGTTTTGAAATGGATATTTCACAAGGTATCAAGTGAAGTTTCGTGAGCTTTCAATGCTACGTGATTGATAAGAATTATAGTTTCAAGTGTCTACTGAGAATATCTGATTATATTATATTTCAAGCAACTACGAATGATAAGAAAAAATCCACAATAATTCTACGAAAAAAATAATATTGAATAATTATATGAGGGTTTACAACACTTCCCCTCTTAAAAAAAAAAGATCGAACGCCTATGTCGACGTGAGATCTTTTGTACTTCTACGACCTACAATTTGTCTTGCACGTTCTGGAGGTGGATTATCTAAATATTCAATTGAATTTGTTGATGCTGAAACAGATTCCGGGGTACGAGAAAAATGCACAATTGGTTCATTATTGTACCTTGGATTTGTTGTTCTATTGTCGATTCTGATACAAATACCTGGAATCACTTCACAGCATCTCCTACCTAACTTACATTTCTTGCAACAACAACAGCATAAAATAATACATAATAAAATAATAAACAAAATAGCTAACACACTATTAGCTGAAGATAACGAGTTTGGCATCCAGAAAAAATTATCTAGTTCTTCATCAATTTCAGAAAGCTTTTTGCTTGCTAAATTCAAATCATCTAAATGCATACTTACAACCTTGAAATTTGGATCTAAATGTACTTCAGAATAATTAATTTTCTTTGTGTCTTCTGTTTCACAACAATCATATAACAAATTTATCGGTGGAATGAAATTTTGGTTACTTTCATAAATGCTGGTATGTACTTTATGAGGTATCAGAAGAGCACTTTGAGTAAAAGCTTTACAATTTTCGGATAGAGCTAACATTCCGGTTCCTTGAACAAATTCGTTGTAAATTTGACTTTGACAATTTATGCTAATACGTTCTGGAGAATTCAAAACAAAAATCCAAGTATTGGATAGAATTAATTGATGCCATATGTTTTGATAGAGAGAAGTTAATCTCTTATCACAATTTTCTGGAATTGTACTCGTTGCATGAAAT